AATCAGACAAAGGCATGAAGCTTCTGTTTAAAGCAGGCATCTGGAAGGGAGGGATATCCATTATGATGGTTATTCTCTCTCTCAGGTCAATAACTGTCCAGTATGTTTGAAGTCAAATGGAAAGAGATTTGTGATGGGACTGCTTTCGGACCATAGACTTGACAGGTACAAAAACCAAAATTACTGTGATAACTTCGCAGGTCTGGCAGCATCTGTGGAGAGTTAAGATTTTGGGTCCAGTGACCCTTCCTCAGAACAGTTCTGAGGAAGGGTCACTGGACTTGAAACGTTAACTCTGATTTTTCTTCACAGGCGCTGCCAGATCTGCTGAGCTTTTCCAGCAATTTCTGTTTTTGTTCCCGTTTTACCGCATCCACAGTTCTTTTGATTTTTATTTAAGCTTGAAAGTCAACTTTCTTTACCCCTTAATGAATTCCCATAAATATATGCTCTATAAATGTGTGAAGTCATTGCACATTTTGAAGAATTATTGATGTAGTTCATCTGGTTGCCTTCACAGACATATTTTACATTGTCCTACCAATTGGGGTTAACTGTTAAAGTTGGAGGAGAAGGGCAATGCTCAGAGTAGACAATCCAGACAAATGCACTAGAACTTCACAGTGGCTCATTCTTATACTGCCAATTAAATGGTACTTTGGACAGGAAAACTAGCCAAGACATTAAAAGCACAAGTTCCAAGGGAGCCAGTCACAAATTATACCTGGTCCTGTAGCCAGACCTGAAAGATTGAACTTGTAGACTATAGGGTCCTTCTAAGCAATTAACTGACAAATCTGCCAGTCTACAGTGCACAAATGCTTTTGTTTGCTCGTGGTGCTAATTTTATCTATGACTCCAAGCAACAGGAGAGGTCTACACCCATTCGCAATTTAGACTACGAGATGCTAACAGCATGCAAGTCATAACTAGTGGCTTGTCAGTCATGAATACAACTGGCATATTCCTGGGACACAAGTGGGGCTACAGCAGGTCTTCCTTCCAAAAAGTAGCTGACTATAATGTTTATTCTTTTAACTATGTCTTATTTCTAACTTATACTATACATCGCTGTAAGGTAATGTAACTTTTCTTTTTGAATTTAAAATTTGTAACTAGGTACTTTGTATCTAAGACAGCAACATAAGTGGCAACATTGTAAACTTTTCACAGTACTCCTGTACTTGAGTACACGTGACAATAAGGGACATTCTGTTCTATGCTAAAGTGCTCAGAGCTCACCTCAACAAAGGTTCAAGAATTTGAAGAGATGTTGTAAGTTTAACTGCTCCAAGCAGCAAACTTTATCTATGAGCTAAATGCAGAACTTGAGTACAGAAAGTTTCTTTTGTAAGTTATCAAAGGCATAATTTATTCTTGGAAAATTATAAAATAGAAAAGTGCAGAATGATTGAATAATTTATGATCTTTGCAGTTTAATTTCTGATGATTTTGTCAGGAAGATAAATTGATATTAAATGTTTAAATTCTTGTTTTTGTTCTTGACATATCACAACACTGGCAGCTCACCTTTGTTGTCCTGAAAACTGATGCTGGGACTTCCCCCTCAAGTGCTACAATTCTGGCCCTTATGATGTTTACGGGGAATCTCAGGATTTTGATCCAGAAACCATGAAGGAATGATGATATAATTGCTAAACTCATGGCCAAATGTGAACTGGAAAGTAACTTGAATAGGCGGATATCCTGAATCTCTAGAAGTCAAATTTCATTCCCCAACGCAGAGTACTTGGAGATTTTGGCATGTGTAGCATTATGAATCTAGAATCTTTCTTCTCTATGAGCACTTGGTGACAAGGAATAAAAATCTGACTTCTCTTTTCCTTGCCTTTCCACTTACGGTGGTGGAATTGTAATTTCCCTCAGCATATGAAATAGTATCATCTTTGGCTCATGACAATGCCACCAGAACTAATACAAGACATTCTAGACAATAAAGCATAGGAGAAAAAAGCCAAATTCCAAAGTTTTGGCTGCGATTCACAAAGTCCAACAACACATTTCAGCATTACAGGGGTGGTATGGTGACACAGTGCTTAGCCACTCCCACCTCACAGCACCAGGGACCCGGGTTCGATTCCAGCCTTGGGTGACTGCCTGCATGGAGTTTGCACATTCTCCCCATGTCTGCGTGGGTTTCCTCCAGGTATTCTGGTTTCCTCCCACAGTCCAAAGTTGTGCAGGTTAGGTAGACTGGCCATGGAAAATTGCCCTCTAGCATCCAGGGATGTGTAGGCCAGGTGGGTTAGCCATGGTAAATGTGGGATTACAGGGATGGGAGTGTGGGTCTGGATGGGTGCTCTTTGGAGGGTCAGTGCAAATTCAATAGACCGAGTGCCCTCTTTCTGCACTAGGGATTCTATGAATTCATTTTTGCACTATCATAGCTTCAGATTCCTGTTGTTTGCTCGGTGGAAATGTGACAGGTTTTGAATCCGTGAATGTCACATAGCATGAAACATGAACTAGAGTGCAACAAAGGGCCATTCTTCAACACAAAGCTTAAAATGTTAACCATTTCACTTAAGGTTGAAAGAAAATGGGACTTTTTTTAAAAATTAGGATCTCTTTGCCTGATCATTAATCTAATAATTTTGCAACTTTATATTGCATTTTTAAGGAATCTGATTGTTTCTTTAAAATTCTTACTAAAACTATGCCACTGTCTTTTCCAGTCCTCTTTGGAATGGTAACAGGAGAAGCCAAGCAATCTAAGTCATACAGTGTGCACTTCTTAATTTGCTGCTACTCACTCTAAGTGAAGGCTGTGCCCAATCTGAATTCTCAACTTCAGTTACTGTTAGAAGCAATGTGACGATCTACTGACTGTGTAAACAAGGTTATTGTGTAACCGTGTTTGCTAACAACTAGTCACTTACTTGCCGTCAATGACATAGCACTCTCTCATTGCTATTAAGTTCACAAGATTGGAAATGTGTTAAATACTTAGGCTAGTCGGCATGATTCAGACAAGGCAAAGTGATGTAGAATTGGAGAAACTCTCATGAAACACAAACTACAGCACATACTAGAATGGTCTGTTCCTGTACCATATATAGCCTCAGCTGGAGCATTCTATCCTGTTTGGGGTGATGCATTTTAGAATGAATGGGGAGGCATTGCAAGAGTGTAAAAAAAAAATTCACAAAAAAAATTTCACACTTGCATAAGAACCTTCCATTATGGTGGTACAGCAGAGAAGTTAGGGTGGTTTTCCTTAGAAAAGGGAAGACAGTGGAGACTTCAGAGAAACATTCACAATCATGAAGGTTTTGGACAGGGAATAAAGGGCAAATTGTCCTCAATCATGAAAAACTGGAGACTGAGAGGTGACTGACTGAAATTATTTGGTAAAATTAAAAACAAAATGAAACGAGGCAAAACTTTTTCTAACAGTAAGTGGTTAAGATCTGGAATGCAGTGCCTGGAGTGTGAACGGTGCTGAAGCATTCAAAAGGTAATTGAAAAGGAAGAATGTGCAGGGTTAGGGGTAAGGCAGGAGAATGGTACTTTGGAGAGCTGCTGCAGACAAGAAGGACTGAACAGATGCTTCTGAGCTGTAACAGCTCTGAAGTTTATAAATTCTGTATAATTCCAATCAATAAATTCAATAGCTTTTCTAAACGGATACGCTGAGAGTTCAAAAATCTTGAATTCATCAATACTTGGCAAACTGACTAGTAACACAGTTTTTACTTTTAGGGTCCTAAACAACAGCTCCATGCAAATTCTTCAAATCCCAGTCCTTACAGCTTATCAAACAGAAACACTTGGCTAATAAGGACATGTAGATCTGTAACAGATGAATGGTAAGTGCAGATCTCCTTCTTGAAAGACCACAGATGAACCAGCATTGTAAGCTGCAAATGCTAGAAATTGGGATTAAAATGGATGGCTAGTTTATAAAGCTGGTGCAGATATGATAGACTGAACGGGCACTTTCTGTGCCATAACATTTCTATTATTCTGTGCAACCAGCTGTGGTTTTACAACTATCTGGTATCTATCTGATTGCTACTACTATTCAATTTCAATTCCCAATGTATTTAATTAAATAAAGTGTAAATTCTCCAGATGATGTAATGAGATTTAAACTATCTAGATTATTTGTACATTTTTCTGGATTGCTAATCATTAAACAAAACCACTCTGGTACAATACCCCTGTAAAAGGTAAGGAAAAAGTTGCTATAGTCCTACCGGACCATACAGCTGTTCCGTCACTGGAGAGTGACGACTAGTGGCGGTTTAACCTGAGGGACACATCTCAGGCGAGGAGAGAGATTGAGGAGAGTCTTTCAAGGTAACCTTAGCCAGTGCAGGAACTGAACACACGATTCTGGCATCACCCTGCACTGCAAACTAGCCATTCAGCCAACTGAGCCAACAGACTCCCCCCTCCATCCCACTGTATCCAGTGCATTACATCTGAATCCTGTGATTGCACAATTTTAAAAAAAAGCATGATTGATTGCGAACCGTGGTACATTTTAGTGTATATTCTTAAAGTGGATGAAAAATATTGAAGCAATTGCTTCACGCTCCTGTTAATCATATAAATATTAAAAGCCATCTTTCATCAAATATCCAATGGCATGTGAACAATTACAGACTGAGATTTTAAAAAAGGCTGCAAAGATCCCACAGTGCAATAATGATCCTGCCTGCTCATCTAGCTGAAAGATGCTTAGGATGAAGGTCTACAAAATAAACACAAGGGAGAGAGAGCAAAGACCTCAACATTAGGAGGAGGATGCATTTTGAAGGAAAAGGGAAAGCCACAAATTCTGAAATTAAATCAGAGCATCTTTGAAACGCACAGAAGCGAGCATTCTAAGAGAAAAATCTGTCATTTCTCAAATGTAGGCATTGAGAACAGAAAGTATAATGATTAATTTGGACAGAACTGTTCTATGTTTCGAAAAACTGATTCTGGTTGAGCTCTGAGGACTAATTCCTGGTGGCACTATTTCCACAAACCTGTCCAATTTTGCCTCAGGAGCAGGTGAGAGAGAGGTCCTGTAGCGAGAGCTGGAGGCGGTGGGGGAAGCAAGCCCAGAGTAAGATCGAGATCCCGCGAAGGCACTGCTGCCATAGCTGCTGTATCTGCAGAATATATAAGGCAAGAGAGGCACGGAGAGAGAAAAAGACAGAAAGGCAACAGTTAGCAGGCAAGCATGCTCAGAGCAACATCACACAGTGCAACAGAAAGAAGCAGACAACAGACAAACTAGACAAGCAGCAAGGCATGTATGCAGAAACCAGTGCATGGAACTGTCATTGCTATATTATCTTCTGGCCCAGCTGGTTTACCTTAAAATTCAGTATCTGTGCTTCTACTAATTGTCGGAAGCTGGCCCTGATCAACAGATAATATTGTTGCAAAACTAATGCTATCAAATATTTTACACCATCCATGCGACCAATGCAGACGAATAAAGCTAACACTGTAGTAAACATGTGGCCCAGATATAACAGACATGCCACATACTTAGGGGATCCTCTGAATCATGTGTATATACAGTAGCATTATTAACAGTATGGTGTTATCACTATTAATATAACATCATTTTTTTTTAAACATACTGTTATATCTGTTTAGTTAAGGATGTAGTGCAGCCAATGTTACAGTGCCTTGCAATTTTGTATTGTTTACTAATCACAGCGAGGCACACTAAATGGAAAGGCCAAAAGGATATAAGCTCCTTCCAATGTATCAGTCAGTGAAGGCTATTCCTTAGGCTAACATGTATCTAGGGTGTTATTAATGTGCGTTAAGTTGATACATGTATAAAATGGAAAGCGTGAACTTGTGAGGAAATATTTTCTCAGAACACTTTTGGTTGTAGGATTTCACCAGGTTGTGGCGATGCTAATTTTCTACAAGGTCATGGCCGGTGAACCGATTTGGCACTGCCACAGTCAATGTGTTTGATTTACAAACCAGAAGTGCATTTGGTTTATGATCCTTAAATCTGGCACCTCCACTTTTGATGGCTTTATGCACACGCAGCTGAAATGCCAAACAGGAAACGCCACAATGTCTGAGTTCCCCAAGTGGCTGATCACATACTGAATAAGATATTGCACCCAGGGGTCTATTAAGCCGACATTTTCTTGTACAATATCAGAGTTTAACTGTTTTGAATCAAAACTATGCGCATTTCACTACTTTAGCTTTTTACAAAAAAAATGTTAAACCAAAACAACTTAAAATAAGCATAATTCTTAACGGTAGGCGGCAAACGGAGTGTGTTCGGGACAGTTAATATTTTAACACCATTGCATTATTTGACAACAATGTAATATGAATGAAGAGCTTCTACCTTCCTTTCAGTGACAGAAGGAGCCTTTGTAAAGTTCTTCACATTTCTTCTCGGGAACAATTGATTAGAGGAATGAAACTGAAGTCTATTATGAATTAAAAGTAATAGATGATCACAGTAAGAATACGTCTGATCTTGGAAATACTGCACGCTTTCTGAGGCAGTTATTTCATCCCAATTGTTTTCTTTTGTGAACTTAATAATTTCCTTACTGACTGCCGAATTCTGTGCATTACTTTAAATCTAAACAAAAGCCTCATAATTGAGACAATCACTTGTAAAAGGATACTGCCATTTTTCATCTCGGGTTAATATTGAATTATATAACAAGGTAAATGAAATGTAATGCAGAAGCCCCCAAAATGTAAACATTAATGGAATGTTCAACTAATCCAAAGTGAGCAGACATCATTTTGTTCCTGAAGTGAGGCAGAGGGGTTACAGACTGTCTTATGAGAGCACGGCGTACGTTTCTTTATAGTACAAGATCTTTGTGTTATATTTTACTACTGCATTCTGTCATAAAAGTCAGTCTGTCAGATTCCCCAAGCTTCCATTAGATCATTAAAAAAAAATGACTTTTATAACAAATGCGCACACACACTTGAATTCAGCATCTTGGCTTGTTTAATAAACATGAGCCCCATCGCTCCAACGATCTATCCCGCAATTTGAAGGCAAACATCAGCAGGAAGATTTCTCCTTGGCATCTCGAGCTAGTTTTGTGACCCAGCCAACAATAGAGGCTAATTCAAATTATGGATTTTATGTGCACAAGGTAAGGAGTCACATTTCAACCCCTACACTTTATTGCTTTTGCAGAAAGCATACTGAAGCTACATTTGCACAGCGTAGCTAATTGCTGCAGAATGGAAACTCCTACCAATATCTACAGTTCACAGATACATTGCAATTACAAGGCCTGACTTCATTAGGTCAATGTGATGATAGGATTGAGATGCAGGAAAAGGGTGCACGAAATGACAGTTTAACAGGCCGGAGTACAAAGATACTGCATGTAACAGTAGGTATTTGTAAATACAAAGCTAGGGCACTAAGAGTTCAAGGTCTATAGTACATTGTTGAAGGAAGACAATTTCTGGCAGTTCCTTCCCATCGTTTCCAAAGACATTTGTTTTATTTGTTATAAATGAAACCATTTCAATCCTGGGAAAGGAATGCCTGGTTTATAGGAAGAATATAGTATACCTGAAGGGCTGCAGTCTGTAGGGATCCCGCAGTGCCGTTAGGAAGGGAAATCAAAGATTTTGATCCAGTAACAGTGAAAGAGACAGCAATACAGCTCGAAGTCTTGATGGTGAGTGACTCGGAGGGGAACTTGCACTTGATGTGCCCATGCATCTGCAGCTACTGTCCTTCTCTGTGAGACATCATGGTTTGGAAGCACATGTCAAAGATAATTTGGGGAGTTGCTGCAGTGCCTCTTTTAGATGGTAAATCCTGCCGCCACTTATGGATGCAGTGGGTGTTTAAGATGGTGAATGGGCTGCCAATTAAGTTTGTTGAGTGGTGGACAGCATCTAGTTTTCCTGGAGCTACACTAATCTAGACAAGCTGAGAGTATTCCATCAAATTGAGAACATTGCCTCAAATTTCTGAGATTTCAACCAACTCTTGCAGCCACAGTATTTACATAGATGGTCCAGTTCAGTTCCTGGTTAACAGTAATCCTGGGATATTGATGTTTGAGGATTCAGTAATTGTAATGTCACTAGCAAATTGTTCCCCATTTTTGGACAGGGTCATTGACTGACAATTGTGTAATACAAGTGTTATTTGCCATGTACAGCCCAAGACTGAAATGCTGTCTAGGTCTTTTTGCACAGAGGCACAGACTGCTTCAGTATCTGTGGAGTCACAGATGATATTGAACGTAGAACGCATCCATGATGGGCTGGTGGTCACAGATGAAGCAGCGGTAATAGTCAGGCCTAGGGAACCCTCCTACAATGCTCCTGCATCAACATCCAGGGACTTAAAGGCCTCCAATAACAACCATCTTCCTTTGTGCTAGCCTGAGTCTGAGCAGTGGAGAGTTATCTTCTGCCCCAACCTGTTTTTATTGACTTCAATTTTGCTAGGTCTCCTCAACACCTCATTCAATCAAACGCTGCATTGACATCACTCACTGAAATCTGGTATTTAGCTCGTTTGTCCATGTTTAGACCAACACTAAAATGAAATGGAAACAAATGGCCCTGGTGGAACTCAAACCAAACATCAGTGAGCAGATTATTGCCGAGTCAATCATAAGCAGCCATCGTCTTTTTGAATAGTAAAGAAAGACGAAGGACCTGAATGGTCCACTCCTGCTCCAAAATCGTTTGCGCATATGATTCTTGACAGCAGTATCGATGATATCCTCCGCTTTTATCCTCACTCTTAGGACGCAGACAGTGCTGGCTATGCCGACACTTATTATCTGTCTGTAGTTGCCTTCGAGAGTATGGTGGTGAGTTGTCTTCTTGAACCGCACAGTCCATCTGCTGTAGGTAGACCCACACTGTTAGGGAGTTCCAGAATTTTGAAAGAAGAGTGATATATTTCCAAGTCAGGATGGTGAGTGGCTTGGATGGGAACTTGCAGGCATGAATTTGCTAGTGTTTTCCTCCAGATGTTGGTTATCAGCATTTAGAAAGTGCTGTCTAAAGATACCTCGGTGAATTTTTGCAGTGCATCTTGTAGGTGATACACACTGCTGCTTCTAAGCATCAGCGGTGGCAAAAAATGTTTGTGGATATGACGCAAATCAAGTTAGCTGCTTTGATCTGGATGGGGTGAAAAGCCTCAAGTGTTGTTGGAGCTGCATCTATCCAGGCAAGCAGGGAGTATTCCATCGCACTCCTGACTTGTGCCTTGCAGATGGTAGACAGGCTTTGGGGAATCAGATGGTGAATTAGTCTCTGGAAAATTCATAGCTTCTGACATATACTTGTAGCCATATTAGTTATATGGCTAGTCCAGTTTGGTTTCTGGTCAACGGTATCTCTGTCTCCTAGAATGTTGATAGTCAGGCAGTCAATGATAAGTGATGCCATTGAATGTCAAGGGCCAATGGTTTGATTCTCTTATTGGAGATGGTCATTGTCTGGCACTTCTGTGGCACAAATATTATTTGCCACTTATCAGGCCACACCTGGATATTGTCCAGGTATTGCTGCATTTGAGCATGCACTGCTTCAGTATCCGAAGAGTTGTGAAAGCTGCTGAATATTGCTGAGTCAGTTATCAACGAATAGGCCTACTTCTAACAATACAGAAGGAATGGCCTTGATGATGCAACTGAAGACGGTTGGCCTTAGGACACTACCCTGAGGAATTCCTGCAAAGATGCTCTGGAACTGAAATGATTGACCTCCATCAATCACAACCATTTTCCTTTGTGCTAGGTGTGACTACCATTAGTGGAGGGTTTTCTCCTGGATTCCATTGTTAGGGCACCTTAGTTAAATGTGGTTTTGATGTCAAGTGCTGTCACTCTCATCTCACCTCTGGAATTCAATCCATGCATGAACCAAGCATCTGATGAGGTCAGGAGTTAAGTGGCCCATGCAGAACTCAAAGCTACTTGATAGTACTGTTTATGACATCTTCCATACTGACGATTGACAGTAAATTCACCAGGTATTAATTGACCAGCTTGGATTTGTCCTATTTTGGATTCTCTACCCCTAGGGGTATAGAAGCTCAGTCTGAGTATGTCTAAAGCAGGGGTTGAAAATTTTTTGATTATCAATGATGTAAAGGGTTATGGGGATAGCTAAGAGGCATTGAAATGGTCAAAAAGCCATGTTTGTATTAAGTGAGAGAGAAGGCTTGATGGGCTGAACGGCCTACACTTGTTCCTATAACTTGATGTGAAGAACAGCTGATCCACACACTTCCCTCAGACTGAACAAATTGCTTGACGGTTTGCCAAAATTTGGTAAACGCACTTTTCTTTCTACACAATAGGATTCTGACAAGGATCAAAGAGTTTAAACAGAAGCTAAGCTATTCTAAGTATCAAAACTGTATGTAATGTAATGACCAAGACAGCTTTGGATGGCATAGCCATCAGGTAACCTGCAGGTAGAGGAAAAAATGATGCATCATTCACTTTGCACTCTTGAATCTAGCCCCATAAATCATCAGAGTTGGAGTAATGTATTTTATAAAACCTAGCCTCACCCACAAGATTCAACAGAAAGGGAAGTAGTTGAAAGGAAATTTGATTTGCAGAGGACACAATCAAATTGCTGTCTGGAGTAATGTGTGTGTGCTTCAGACACCAAAGCAATGTTGGAATAATATTCCAGTCCACATCCATACAAACCTCCTTAAATTGGAGGGGAGCAAAGGGAACATAAATTTTCAAGGTGCATATCTGCAGCATGGGAACAATGAAGGAGAAAGTACAGCTAAGGACAATGTAGTTACACACATGTCTCTCTTTTGGAAAGTTACATTATATCGTAGACCGCAAAAGGTTAAATAGTGCACAGAATATTATCATAGCACTATGTAAGTGCTTCATCCAACAATGGAAATTGTGGCACACTAGAGGGCAGTAGACTCACGGATTGTCAATGACACAAACTTGATTTTTGGAAGAGGGGTGAATAGGATTGTATGAGTTGGTAGGGAACCTTCATATTTCTAAGAAGATGATGATTACAGCTAGTTAATAGGGAGAGAGTGCTATACATAATCCCTTTTTGATCTTGGCTGTGAATGGAATGATTATATTATGCTTGGAGAGAGCAGTGCAGATTAACCAGAATGCTTAGTGGCTGAAAGTGTTAAATTAGGAGGACATTTTGAATAAATGAGGCTTGAAGTACCCTGGATATAGAATATTAAAGGCATGATGTCATGGACCAGTAATTCAAGATGACCAAAAGGAGTTGACAAGGGATTATAGAGAGAAGGAAAATATTTCCTCTGGTGATGCAAATCCAGAAAAATCAGCTGCAACCTTATAATTTTAAGAGTTAAGACATTCAGAGGTGATTTTGGCAGCACTTTTTCACACGAGTAATGGAAACCTGGTACTTGCTCTCTAGAAAAAGCTGCAAAGTTTAGGTCAATTAAAAATTTCAAAACTGAGAATAACAGAACCAAGATGGGTAAATGGAATTAAGTTGCAGATCTGACAAAATCAACCTTAATTGCAATTGAGATGCAAAGGCTTGAATAGGCTACTCCTGTTCCTACACGTCCGTTTTCTATCGTGCATATTGATACCCAAATGCCAACTCATCAACACTTGTTAGTAGTCATGACCATGGACCTTTGTTCCTTCCTAAATACACAAAGCTCTCATTGACTCTGACTGCTATGTACAAGGTATAAAAGACTTCTTCATCACCATCATTTCCAACAGCACCAGTAAACATTTACACTACATGGTATGATTCAAGCCCAATAAATGGTGTCAACACAAAGCTTTGACAAGGAAACTCCAACTGGTCAAAATGAAAATTACAGATTCCATCTGCTGAAAAATAGCACAGTTAACACAATGCAGAAAAACGACCACTCCAGTTTCAGAGCACGAGCTATGCTTAGCCCTACATTTATTTTCAAAAAATCATAGTGAACTATTTTTTTTTCTCTCACTCGCATATTTGCAAATATTTTTGAGTGGGCATCTTCTGCTGGAAGCTTTTAGCATTCATGAAATCTCAACCGGTGTTATTGTCAGACAGGCATTAAGATGCTACTCTAGGTGTTCTGAAGTCTGCTTCCAAATCATACAGAAAAGTTTGATGCTCAGAGCAAAACTAGGTCCATTCTAAATTGATCCTGTTAACAGCCTACTATCTGTTCATCTATATTATTGAGGAACATCATTCGAAAAGGTAGTAGTTTACTGCAATAATGGACAATTAAATCCATAGGTACAAACCTAGGAGTCCAACTCAAACACAATTTTATAAATTCAGAGAGAAGCACTGCAGATTGTGTAGCCTCCAACAGATTGCAACATGCTGTTTTTTTTTTAAATGAAAGGAAGAGATATTTTGATGACCCACCTATTAGAAGACCTGGAGGTATAAGGTTCAAAGGTATCAGTGTATTTGTTCATGTAGGAAGATTCCAGCTGACTGAAAACAGAAACAGAGAAGCTGGAAGTGAATAAAAGAGAAGAAATTTCAACAGTAGAACAACAATAAAATCAAGGCATGTGAAAGGATAGTTGTGAAGTAATTTGTTTTCCATTGCTTCAGGCCTCCTTTGAACCATAAACTTGATCTCAATTTCAATATTGACCTAGACTTTCATATTAATAAGGCTCAAGTGGATCAGTTGCCATATTTGATTTGGTATAGAATAGTAGAACAAGGGTCATACATGATCAAAGTATAAACTAAAGGAGATTAGATTCAGGCAAGATAATGGGATGTCTCAGTCCACTGAGGAAGGAAAGAACAGCCTCCTTGATTGGCACATGACCTATCACCTCAAACATTTACTCCCCCCACCACTAAAACATTTGACATTGTATACATAAACAAGATACAACAGTTAGCTTTGCCAGCATCTTCCAAACCTGTAACCTCTATCATGTGAATGAACAAGGGTAGCAGGTGCAGGGAACATCACAATTTGCAAGTTCCCCTCAAAGCCACACTATCCTGACATGGAATTACTTCGCTGTTCCTTCACTGTTGCTGGGTCAAAATCCTGAAAGCCCCATTGTAACACCATGAGTGTGTCTATACCACAAGCACTGAAGTTGTTCGAAAGGTTGGCTTCCAAGGGCAATTATGGATGGGCTATGAATGTTATCAATAATGTTTTTATCCCTTCAGCAGACTTAAAAGTGGTCATATTTGGAATTGTTTACCCAGCTGCAGGGCAAGGACCATCCGTAATTGTAATGCTGATTTTCAGTAGTAACGTGAAAGAATACATTGTAAGATTGAATTGCTGGAAAAGCCGGATGATGATCAAGATTGACCCGTCATCTTTTTGCTAACCATGAGATTTTCTATACTCGAGATCATTCAGCATTGTTATAAAGAATGACTCCATCCTCCTACCTTCAAATATATCAGCAAAGAAAGAACAGCAATTAAGGCAAATGTCAGATGTCTGTCATTCAGTGTCATGTTGTAAGGAAAACCCATACAAGTCATTTAAATCATCAAACATCAAGACGGAGAAATTGAAAATTTTACTTTGCATTTTACCAACATTAAAAGGGACAATACCCCAGATAGACCATCAACACTTCAAGGACACACTGTTTCTGAATTTCAGTTAGCAGTATATTGAATGGGCTCAGGATATTTTAAACATTTAGAATTTAATGCTGTCTGAATCGACACATTACCAAACATCACAAATAACATCTTTAGGATTCTTCAAGAGTTCTCATTTAAGTTGCTGAAGATTACTTACTTTACTGGTGGGCAGGAACCATTTACATTGGTATGGAGAAACCAAACAATCGATATTCTACATTGACGTGTTGTGATGCATAATAGTTTTTCTAAAGAGTTATGCAGACTTAATCAAAGTTGCTTGAACAGAATGATTTGAAAGCAACATACTATATTCACTTGATTCCCATATCATGTCATTATTTGGAATTTCACTGATGTGTACAATGGGAAAATTAAGTCACATTTACACAGCTGATCAAAATCAAATCGGTCTGGTCCTGTCAAAGTGTGCTTTGATGTAAGATCATCATTCTGAAACTTAATTTCTCTCCGCAGATGCTGCCTGATCAGCTGAGTACCACCAGCTTTTTATTCCCCCTAACAGATTTCCAGCATACAGTCAAGAGCTGTACAGCACAGAAACAGACCCTTCGGTCCAAGCCATCCATGCCAACCAGATATCCTGAATTAATCTAGTCCCACTTGTCAGCATTTGGCCCATATCCCTCAAAACCCTTCTTATTCATATACACATCCAGATGCCTTTTCAATGTTGTAATTGTACTAACCTCCACCATTTCCTCTGGCAGCTCATTCCATACACGCACCACCCTCTGCGTGAAAAAAGGTTGCCCCTCAGGTCCCTTCTAAATCTTTCCCCTCTCATTTTAACCTATGCCCTCTAGTTTTAGACTTCCCGAACCTGGGAAAAAGACCTTGGCTATCCACCCTATCGACGCCCCTCATGATGTTATAAATTTGTATAAGGTCACCCCTTGGCCTCCGATGTTCCAGGGAAAATAGCCCCAGGCTATTCAGCCTCTTCCTTTCGCTCAAACCCTCCAGCCCCGGCAACACCCTCGTAAATCTTTTGTGCACCATTAAAAGTTTATCATCATCAACAGTTGTTTAAAGAGAGGTACAACTTGAATTTGAAATATCAACATTTTAAAATGAGTTTTGAGGATGTTACATATTTGTAATACAAATTCTATGCACTAAAAGTAGAATTATGAAAATGCTGGAAATCTGAAATCAAAATAGGGAAATGTTAGAAAACATTCCACAGATCAAGCAACATCACCTGTGTGAGAAACAGTCTGCGTGAAGCTGATTTTAATGCATTTGAAACCATCCACTTGTTAGGAAAAGATCTCAAAGCCTTACAGGGCTTAAAGATTTAGGGAGGAAAACACATTTGTGGGTATTGAAAGTCCTAAACTGTAATAATCTCAAATAGATATAAAATGCCAAAACAAATTCTACTTCAGAATTGACCACTGGGTCACCAAGAGTCATCTAAGTTTCTGTTCCCTTTATACATAGGGTCAATGATATAACTTGTGATCCACCTGACATTCTTAGCATTTGTTGACTTTTTATTTAATAGATTTTCCTTCTTGAATGTTACTCAGTATTGTGAACACATGCCCACCGTTTCGTTGAAGGATCAGAATGTAGTTATTCCTTTGTTTTACAGATATTGGTGAGATTGCACCTCTTTAGGAAGTCAATATCTGTTGGAAACAGAAACTTTGCGTACTCTCAAATTTAAACTGTTCTTCATCATGTGCCATCAATTCCAGAGTCTACATCCTTACCTCTGAAAGGTATGGGATGCATCTGCACTCAAGGAGCAGTCATGAAATAAAGGTGGGGAGGGAGGTTAATACAGTGGAAATTGCAAAGTACCAAGCGAGCACAAATCTGTCCACGTGTGTGGTTGGAGGACAGAAAGTTAACAAACTGACACAACGTCTAGGCCATGACTGAAAACTAGTACAACTTAAAAACGTGCTTCAAAAAAAAAAAAAATAAGCAAAGTAGAACACACACACACACACACACAAAAAGGCCAATCTACCTGCTGTCCCTAATTTCTGCTTCTTTATCTTTGACACTTTTAGGAGTTTCACTCAGATCATAAGAAAACAGATGGAAAGGTGTATGGATGAGATATGGCAACTTCTCAACACTTGGAGACAAAGCTGGAGTAACATTTGCTGATGAATCTTGAGAACTGTTTTGTGGAACAGCTGGTGACTGACGGATGACAATAGATGATGATGGTGATGATGATGAAGAAAATGATGACGGTTGCAAATGATGTTGGTAATCGCTGAGAGAACTAGGTGACTTAGGAGAACAGCTAGACAGCAGGTTGTTAAGTTCAGGAGTCTGGAACTGGCTGGAAGATCCTTCCCCTTCAGGCACAGGGATAAAGCTCGCTACATATTTTGAACTCTGGAAACTACTTTCTGCATATTCAATTGCTGCATCTGGCTTCAACTCACTGGCAGGAGAAAGGGATGAAGAGACAGGGAGGATGGAAAGATTAGAGTAGGCCCAAAATAAAAGAATATTTGAAAACTGAATTTAAAATGTAATTGAAAACATTAAAGTAATCTTTGGAAAATGCAAACATTTTAAGTACAATCTGTGTTACTTCATAATTAATCTGGCTTTATTTGCAGCTTAAGGAAATTGTAACTATCAGATTACATGATACCAGAGGTCACAATCCTTCATTTTGAGAAGGCCTCACAAGATCTAAATGCTTTATATTACCAGTGAGGTCTTTTATGGTAGGCAATTTTATCCAAAAAACATTTGATACAAGGACTTGCAAAATTAAGCCATCTATACACCAGATGGTTACAATTATTGGATTTTAAACACACACCAAATTCCAAGGTTAAATCTGATAGGAATCATCAAATTTAGTCCTAATACCTTTCCTGACCCTGACAAGAGGGATCATCTTCCCTCTCATCCTCAGTATTAGATTCAGTAACTGGCTGCTCTTCTTCAGGTTCTTCCTCTTCGTATTCCTCGTCTCTGTTTGTGGAATGTGGCAGAGGGAAAAAATGATGCAGAGAGACAGTTAAGAATGAATAAGTGAAAAGGATTAAGACAGACGGAATGACAGTGACACACATAGGTAAACATCAATGATGTGAAAGGAACATGGGCCACTTCAAACAGTGCTGAGCGTTGGAATTCCTAGCATCGCATTCTGAACAATGACCCTAAAAGTGCTATACATTGATTAAGTTTGTAGAAAAATAAATGTGAGCCTAGTGAGAGTTTGTATGGAACAATGAGCCATGAGTAACTGAATAAGTTGATGTTGTTACCAACATTACCAGTTAATGCAAAGTTGTTGTAAACTTTCTTTAATCATTTTGATATGCCATCAACAGCGTATTGGATAGTCACAGAAAATAAGTAACAAGACACTAATTAAAACTGAGGGAATCCTAAGTATCATGATCTGCAAGAGTAACAGCTGAAGTGCCACATGAACCTCAGATTAGTTACAGCCTTGCAATTTCTCTGCTGCAGTTTCTAATCTTGTGTGCACACTTTGGCTTAAAACACTATGTTTATTGCTCACTGGTCAATATTGAATGATAAAAACAGCTGTAGCTTTTCATTTCCATAAACGACAAAAACATTTTTAATTGTGCTCTGCACAATGATCATCTCCTGGGTGCTGCAACAATAATTAAGCAAATCAGTTGAGATCACTGATCAATTTTTGCTGGCTTGAATTTTTTAAAAAAATTCTTGCACGTGCAGTTGTGTATTGTGTGCATATAAAGAGAATATCAACCTAACTATCCAGTCATGGGAGGCACCACAGTCAATTATAAGTCAACCTTCACCCAGTAACACTGCCCTGCAGAAACTGCTGCATTATGAGGATATTGCCTTTTCTATCTCTGATTATTTGAGCTGAAACTGTGTCTCCCCAGCCTGTATGGATCGCACAAGTTTGTGGGAATGGGATGAGGGAAGGGATGGAGAATGAGGAAGAGCAAATTACTAATGGCATTAGTACAGGGGACAACACAATAACATTCAGCATGTAGTGAACTACCTCTTCCAAACTTCCATGAGATGCAGTAATATATTTTCAGATTGGGGTGGCTCAGTGGCTGGTCCTGCTGCCTCAGTGCCAGGGACCTTGGTGAGATTCCAACCTCGGGCAACTGTCTGTGTGGAGTCTGCACATTTTCCGTGCGTCCATGTGAGTTTCCTCTGGGTGCTCTGGTTTCCTCACATAGCCCAAAGGCGTGCAGGCTAGGTGCATTGGCCATTCTAAATTGCCCACAGTGTCCTGGGATGTGCAGGCTAGGTGGATTAGCCAATAGGAAGTGCAGGTTTTCAGGGATGGAGTGGGCCTAGGTGGGATGCTCTTCGGAGGGTCAGTGTGGACTCAATGGGCCAAATGGCCTGTTACCACACTGTAGGGTTCTATGATTTGATGATACTTGGCTCTAAGTTTTACATACACCTTCCGTAAAAATACCCGCAGAGACTATCTGGGCAATTTAAAGAAAACCCTCTTCTTTTTAACAATATATAGCAATTGGAAATGGAATATGTAAAATGAAACCTGTTTATATCGCAAATCAGAAGCCTCACTTATATAAGCAGATTCAACAATCCAAGTTCACACAAGCAATTACAATAACAGAGCTAATAAAACACGAGGGTCAATGTAAAGTACTGGGAATTTCTCTTCAATCCAAGCTGGCATTGGTTTCTGTGCAGGGCTATGGAAACAAAATGCTAATGAATGGCCAATAGGCAGCATTGCCTCTCTCTGGTAACAGAGAGTTGGAAGCTGTGGTTGTAACGATGCTCACAAAGGCAATCTAACAATCTCATTCCTACCCCAATGACCGTAGTCTTTTTTGGTTTAATAGTTGTGAGGTTCCAAGGGATGAGGTGCACTGATTTTTGCATCAACCTTCAAGAATCCAGTGGGTCATTTACGTGTCTACTGAGGTCGCGTAGCATAAATCATGCATAAAAACAGGAGTCGTGCATTTAGGGAAAACTTAGAAATTCGAGTACAGTTTTTAAAAAGAAATCTGTCTGATGTCTAGGGAGCAGTATACAGCTTGGAAAGTTAGAGTTAGACTTAGCTCTATTGTTACATGTACTCACACGAGTACAGTGAAAGTTTACAAGTTGCCACTTAAGGCACCATCTTAGATACAAAAGGTACCCCAGGTACAGATTAAGTACAAATTCTTAGGAAAAAAGTAGAAAAATGAAGAAATAAAAAGTCCCGCATTACAGACCTTCACGCCATCTTGGGTACAAAAGTACAAAAGGTACAGGGTACAAAAATCAAAAGGAATAAGTTAGAAAAATAAAGAAATAAGAAGTTTAGAATAACAGTCCTTCCAACCCAACCCATGCCAACCCCCAGACAGCACTGGTCCTTGCCCTCAGACTGCACTGGTCTTCGCCTCGAGGATCTCAAGGCTGTACTTTAAAAAATTTCATGTCGTATTTAAGCCCATTTTCTCTTTTTTAAAAAAAGGTTTACTAGCAGGGGTGGGGTTTACTCTCCAACAGAGAGGGAATGACATGAGCTCTGGTCTCGAATACACTTCCTGTGCTATGTGGAATTCTAGAATGTCCTGTACAACATTGCAGGTTACGGTGAAATAGGAGATAGTTCAGATACTAGGAGTTTCATATTGATGAGGAGGCAGCTTTGGACAGACTGTCTGTACCTGACGTTGATAATGCACCAGTATGGGAGAATATGCATTCAATAACAGTGACGGAAGGGACAATGGGAATTGTCAATGAATTGATCATCATTTTCCTGTCTTTTCTGTTCTCAAGGGTGGTGAGAGAAATTTAAAATGTTACACCCTCATTCGATAAGTGTGTAACAATACACTAACCAACTATTGGCCACTCAGCTTCGTAATGAGGAAACACTTGGAAAGACACAGGAACAGAAGTAGACCATTCAGCCCCTCAAGCTTGTCCCATCTTTCAATGAGATCATGTCTGATCTAGAACCTAACTCCACATACTTGCCTCTTGCCCATTTTCTTTAATACCTTTGCTTAACAAAAATGTACCTACTTCAAAATTTAAAAGTAACTGATCTCGCATGGACTACCATTTGTGGTAGACAGTTCCAAACATCCACCACCCTGCGCGTGTAGAAGCGGTTTCCTGGCATCTCTATTCAATGATCTGGCCCTTGTTGTGAGACTATGGCCCCTAGCTCGAGGATCTTCAACCACTGGAAATAGTTTATCTTTATCTACTCTGTCTTTTCCTGTTCATATCTTGAAGACTTCAACCAAATCACCCTGTAATCTTCTAAATTCTAGAGAAAACAGGTATAATTTGTATAATCTCTCCTTTGAAGTTAACCCCTAAAGTCTGGGTATCAATCATGTAAAACTTCTCTGAGGCGTGGTGCCCAGATCTGCTCATAGTACTACACAGAACTTTCTGGAAATAATCATTCGAAAGAAATGAATAGCCACTTGGGCAATAATATCGGTAAATTAGAGAAATCCAGCAGAGATTTGTTGAGGTCATATGGTATTTTACTAACTGACTTGAGTTTTTTTGAGGAGGGTAATGACATCATGGTATACATGGCCTTTCAAAAGACAAGGGTCAAATAACTGACTTGCGAACAGAGTTAAAGTTTGTCGGAAATAAGGGAGAGGAGCAACTTGGATATGGAATTTACTGAGTGACAGCAAACAGAAAAGTGGTTAGTACATGTTTTTTGGACTGGAAGTTTACAGCAGAGTTTCTCAGGAGTTGGAGTTAGGATCTTGGTTCTTCCCAATGGACTCAGATCTTGGCGTAAAGAGCACAATTTCAAAATTTGCCAATGATAGGATTCGATTCTCAAAAACTCCCTTGGCTGTGGTGAATGCAGCACTATTTCCAAGGCAACAAGGGAACTTCCCTGGCTTCAAAACCAATATCTATACTTTAATCAATATTGCTAAGTCCAATTGCCTGGGCATTTATTATTCAGAAAAAGCTAGCTGTGTGCAAATTTATTGTAGAGTAGGGAAACTCTGCACCCATGTCTTCATTACCTGCAAAGTGTTTTGTGACATCCTGAATGTATGAAATGGTGTAATATAAATGCAGGCCAATATTTCACGGTGTTAGCCAAGGTGGCCCAAAGTGCTATTTTCAGGAATCAGTTTTGGAGCTATTTCCCCATACCAGAGTGCCTCTGCACACCGGAAAAGAAAATAACATGTAAGCTTTTTAACGTTTTGTCCAATGTTATTTTGATTTCCAAGTTTCAAATGGACTAGCTGGGTGCATTAGAACTTCAGGTTTGTGTTACTCATGATTTTACCTCTCTTCAAATTGACCAGTGATTCAATTTTTTTTAATAAAATTATAACTGCAAGATCTCAATGGAAGTAATCCACTCCCAAAATTGTCCCCTCATTACAGTTTGTTCAATTTACAATGAAAGACACCCATTGCACAGCCAAGTTTCTACATATAAATACTGGAGGCATATTAACTATCGACATATCATTATCACCTGACTCCTTCACCTGTAGCAGACATCATGTGTACTGCCAAAAATCACAGGCAACCCTGGCACACATTTTGGGCGATACCCACTAATGAGTGAGCCAGCCGCTTCACAGCAGGAAGTCAGAAACTTACCTTGAAAAATTAAAAAATATCACATTAGTTTAACATAGGGAACTGTGCTGGTTACTGGAAACCCAAAAGTCCACTGTTACCCAGGTTACACAGAACATCACATTACAACACCATTCAGAATACTGTTACCGAGCACTCCAGGTTGCATCCATCTATGAATATTGGATATACAGAAGCTCTCGTTCACTTACAACACATTTGACAGACTAATATCTCATCTACCAGTGTTCAGGGTCTGTCTTGCAATAAAAATAGATATTTGTTGAGGTACTGTGGCCTGGGAACTACACCTCAGCATGAGGCTCACATTTGAGGAGAAAAGTGAATTATCTGATGTGTATATAATTTAAGAAAAA